AACTTGCCAAGCTTCGCTGCGCATCGCCAGATCTTGCTTAGTGGGCGAATTTTGAATCCGAAAGCACCATTCAACTTAACTGTTAGCTCGACGAAACATCTTTTGATATATTAGGTTGGTGCAAAAGGAATGGCCGATTTTCCAAGCCTTTTTCAGGGCAACTTTTCCCCATCAATTCTTCTTCTTTACAATAGATGTAGTATACCATCACGATGCTGTTTTCATGCTCTATCTAAAAGTGCTTAAAATGGGCTCTCATCATCATTTCTTGTAAAGTTACTGAGCTTCAAATAACCGCATCCAAATTCTGAATCTCATTGCATTCACATTTCCGGCCAGAATTCAAGCGCGTATCAATGGGATTTCTTCGAAAATTTAGCTATTATATGTGATAGAAATTGTCTACATTATGCATACTTGACTGTGTTCTTTGAGGCTATCCAGACTGAGTTATCGGCGCCTAAACATGGGTAGCTGTTGCAGTCATTTTATGACCCATAATTTTCTTCTGAAGAAGTCAATCGCCGGATTGCTCAATTCTGTAAGCGTAAGACTAGGGCATCCTGTTAGCAGTTTTTGCAAAAACATCCAGCTGTTCAGTACCTAGAAAATCAAAAAAATTCTATATTCGGGACTTTGAGGCACACTGAAAAAATGTTCAAAAAAGTGAGAAATTTCAAATTTCAATTTTTTTCTTTTTCGCAAACTTTTCTGTCCGAAATCTTTTTATTGTATTTTGTACTACTGGCTTGCGCCAAGATAGGCTACTTAACATTTATACTAACAAACTTTAAAGGAAAATATGAATTGTCAAAGACAAGGTTCTAGCAGAAGAACCTTTTTTATTTTCCAATCCATATTTTTCTGCCCGTTCGTGATATAAGTATGAATAAATGTGCGCTGCATTGCAGAAGGTTTGCTGCTTCTGAAAGTTTTTACCGCATTCGGAATGTGATTTCTTCCAAAAGTTATAGCACGTCAAAGTGAGAATTCGCAAATCGGCCATTCCTTTTGAACCAACCTAATATACAGGGTGTCCCAAAATAATGTGCACACTGTTTGATTTTGAATAACTTTCTTATTATGAGGTCTTTCGAGAAGCGGTAAGCGCCGTTTTGTAGAACTGGCTTCAACTTAGATTTGCAATATAGAGCGAATTACCGACCTCTCTTCATTACTGTAGGATTACGGTAGAAACTTGGAACATATGGCACTGTGGAAAAAGCTGCCTTTTTCAAAAATTTTCAAAAAGATGTGAAAACTTGTGTAATAGGGTTTTTAGGGACGCTGAGTTCAATACTCAACTACTATAGAAGCTTTCTTAACGTGTAACCGCAATTTTTAGGAACATTGAGAAAATGGCCGCTACTGCTTACCTCGCATAACTCTTCAGTGAAACATCATAATAAGTTGGGAACTTTACAGTTAGAACCAGCAACTCAAATTGGCTTAGTGTAAAAGTTTTCAAGCTGTTTTGATTCCTTTCTGAGGCAAAATATGGCCTTTCATGGCCCAAAATTCTCTTTCAAGTTTCTACCGTAATCCTACAGTAATGAAGAGCGGTCGGTGATTCGCTCTATACTGTGAATCTAAGTTGAAGCCAACTCTACAAAATACCGCTTCTCGAAAGACCTCATAATAAGAGAGTTATTCAAGATTAAACAGTGTGCACATTATTTTGAGATACCCTGTATAGAAGTGCCTGCTTGAGCACGACAGTCAGTCAGTTATGGATCCATCCAGACTCTTGCTCACGGTAGGGTACTCGCGTGTTTGACCATTGCACAACATCAACCTACCGTAAGCAAATGTTTGAAAGGATCCTTGGAATCTAGAAGACTGTCGTGCTCAAACAGGCACTTCTAAATATCAAAAGATGCTTCTCGTTGAGTTGAGTTGAATGGTTTTATGAATCTGTCCAGTCTGTCCAGTCGCTAAGTTCGGCGAGCTCCGGCAAAGTGCGGTGATTTTTTTTTCACAAATTACGAACGGTATTGTATTTTTAACTATGCTTGAAAAAGATAAGTAGTTTTTTTCAATTGATCTCACTTTTTCTTCGTTTTCACACTAATTCCAAGATACTGCAGTAATGCGCGTAATTTCTGATCAAAAGTGCTCTTTTGATGTTTGTAGATTGCTTAAAAATTCATGATAGCTTTGCTTTTGCTCTTGACTCTCGCATTTTTTTATGTTATTTTGTAATGGGGAGCCCCGCAAAGCGAATGATTTCTACTCAAAAAAAAAACAACACTTTTGATAAATCCATTGAAAGGCAAAATCATGTTTTTTTTCAAATAAGTGCGAAGGAACTTCTAGACCAACCTTTTAGTTGAGTAAGTTCAAAGTTTGAATTTTTATTTCGGAAGTAGGTAATTTATGTGATGGAAGAAAGAATGGAGAAAAGATTTATTATTTCTCATCGAAAACTCTCAAGGAACTCGTTCAAGCAGTCTTTAGGTTTTTGGACAGTGGACATACGTAAGCTACACTGCTTGAAACTTGAAGGCGTCATCAATGAATCTGAAATGCTACTAATTTCCAACAAATTTGTGCATTGAGTAGTAACTAACTAACAGTAGATTTTTAAGGGAAGTTTTTCAAATTACCCGTTGTACAGAGAAGCTACTTTCCATTTTTGGAAAAAGAGATCGTAGAGTCAAAAATCCTGTATTGAAAAGGGACTTATCTGCAAGGTTCTAACTTACTTTTCTTTATTTAGGGTAACTTGCTGAAGGACTTAGAGCACTCATAATGATCAAGAAGCATTTTCTTAATTCTTTAAGCACAAACGTGTCTCTTGCTCGAAATTCTAGCTGCCAAAATGTTTCGGCAATTCTTTCAGAGGACGAATTCCACACGCAACGTCGAGCACTTGTACGGTGCGGCATTTCACAAGCGAGGCTTTTGTTTATCTGACGACATGAGCGCTGAAATGCTCAATATTTTTTGTCAAAATGCCAATATAAGTTGTCAGAAGTGCATTGAATTCTTTTTACTACTTATTGATCTTTGGCAAAACCATGTTGCTAGATCGCAAGTGTTAGAATGGTAACAAAGAGGATATGTCATGGTTGCTAGCAAATAAGTAAACTACATGACCTGTCACCACAACACAGCTGTTTTGTCACTTAGTTTTACAAAAGCTGAAATAATCAGAAACTTTCAGTAGAATCAAATATTAGATTACCCATGTTTAGTCATAATGTTGGCATCTTATATATAAAGCTGAATGTCTGTTTGTCTGTATGTCTGTCTGTCTGTATGTATGTGTGTACGTATGTTCCGAATAGAAAATTCCATTTCTGAACCGATCCGGACCAAACTTGGCACGCATACACTTCGGGCCCCGGCGGGTGTCATAGGCTACTTTTCGTCATCGATCGATATCGATTTTATCGATTTTTATCGATTTTTTTGCTGAGTTCACCTACGGGGCTGGGAGTTGGCACAGGGGGGTAATCGAGCATGGGGATTCCGAATACAATATTGGTTTTCAGGATTATCGATTACTTTTATCGATTTTATCGATTTTTTTGCAAAGTTTGAGCTACGGGGCTGGGAGTTGGCACAGGGGGGTAATCGAGCATGGGGATTCCGAATACAATATTGGTTTTCAGGATTATCGATTACTTTTATCGATTTTATCGATTTTTTTGCAAAGTTTGAGCTAGGGGGCTGGGAGTTGGCACAGGGGGGTAGTCGAGCATGCTGATCACCCCCAAGGGGGGTGATTAGCATGCTCGATTACACTCCTGTGCCAAATTCCAGCCCCCTAGCTCAAATTTTCAAAAAATCGATAAAATCGAAAAGTAATGGACGATCCTGAAAACTAATATTGTGTTCGTAATCTGCATGCTCGATTACCCCCTGTGCAAACTTCCAGCCCCGCAGGTCAAACTTTACAAAAAAAATCGATAAAATCGATAAAAGTAATGGACGATCCTGAAAACTAATATTGTGTTCGTAATCTGCATGCTCGATTACCCCCTGTGCAAACTTCCAGCCCCGCAGGTCAAACTTTACAAAAAAAATCGATGAAATCGATAAAAGTAATGGACGATCCTGAAAACTAATGTTGTATTCGGAATCCCCATGCTCACTTCCCCCCCTGTGCCAACTCCTAGCCCTGTAGGTGAACTCTGCAAAAAAAATCGATAAAAATCGGTAAAATCGACATCGATCGATAACGAAAAGTGGACTGTGACACCCGCCGGGGCCCGAAGTGTATGTGTGCCAAGTTTGGTCCGGATACGGCGGAGCCGGGTAAGCCAGCTAGTTCTTGATAAATTTGGATAATGATAGTAAGCTAACTCCAAGATTGGTAACACTTCCTTATTGAAAATTACTTTTCGGCACGTTTCTCCTTGTCAGAACTGGAAGTCGAAGTCATGAGCATTTTATCTCTTCAAACGTCAGGAGAAGATTCAGTCGAGGGAAAGCAAAGTGCAGAAAGACGAGCCTTTAAAAACGGTTAACATTTTTAGGGTTAGCTCAATCAGTCTTCAGTTATTTTCCAATTTCTCCCAACTTCAAAAGCTCGATATTAATCCTTCAAAAAGTGTGCTTACTAAGACAGCACCCACTTTGTCATTAGCGTCCGGGACGCCCACGAAGGCTATAATAGAAGATTGACCTACTTCTGCTTCTGAACTGCAAGTGAACTATTTGAAGAAATCTCAACACAGTAAACTAATCTCGAATTCGTCTGCACCTGCGACCTGTAAGCAATGATTGATAATTGACGGTCCGGCAAAGCTGACGCTGACGAAACAGCGATTGATACATATTCACTTAGCGATGTGAAAAAATGAAGATAGAATTGCCCATTAAGTTCATACAGTTTCCAACTCCTTTAAATATTGTACGCTCCAATTGTTTACTGATCTTGGAATAGATAGTTCCAATTATCTTAGGCAATTATCATTCCCACTTCTTCATTTTTTCTTCGACACGAACAGCTAAACTAACAATTCATCATATTACCTTACTTAAGATCCGGAATGGATTCTGAAAGCAGCAAGAAGTTTTCACCTCATGCAGTGGTGAGTCAAATTTCAGAATATATATTATGGAATATTTATGGAATTCCAGGAGTACAAGGGAAAACTTTCCAAGGAAGCTGCGAAATGTCATTACTGCGGAATGCATCCATGCGACAGAATGTTTCGTTTAGTCGTAAATGAGTCTGAATCAGTGATGGCGGTTCTACAGGTACTAGGTATCCGCAAACGATTTCATCCTCAATTGCCAGCGTCCGAGTTTAGGCCAACATAGACTTTCTAGCAATGCCGAACAATGCGGTTAAAGAGTTTGTGGATCAGGTGTGAATGTTTATTCAAACTTCAAATATCAATGTGATCTCTACAGGTTCTGACCAGCTCTGGAACCCTTGCGTTAGGCTGCGCAATGGAACACGCGACCGACGGCTTCGACTATGTGCTTTGCGTCCTGTCCAGTACCTGCTATGTGCAGTAAGAATTCATTACTACAATGAAGACTTTAAAATAATGGTAAAGTTTTGCAGGGAAAAAGGAAGAGATTCAGAAAATGCAGTGCCGGAAAAATGTATACCGTTTTGCCGACGCCGTTGATTGCGGTGACTTCATCAAGAAGGGGGTAATCATGGTGATGGGCTATGGAATGTTGCAGTTTATGTGCTTCCTTCTTCGTTAAGTAAACACTTTCAAGCATTGTGTTCACAACTCGTTCGCTACTGCAGAGATATTGTTGAAATACCGATGAAGCTGTCAGAGTGGCTTTCCAACCAAATGATTGCCATAATCATGTCCTTGAAATACTGGTTTTGACCGTGACGTGGCTCTTTTCGGACTTCACAACCGCTGCAATTTGCAAACGAAATAGCATTTGCAAGCTCAACTCGGTATAATATTCTAATCATTATAAGTATACTCTTAACTGTAAAAAAATCGAAAAATGTACTCAAAGATTTAGTGCGGTTTTGCGACAAACCAATCTAAAGACAAACCTTTGTTTCAACTGACTTGGCTTCGGGACGGCGGAGCTTTGTGACCTAATTAAGGCCGCTCGCGCCCCGTCACGGGCGCGCGTGCTTTCTGTGATTATTATATAGCCTAAATTAGCTCACGAAACCCCGCCTTCCCGAAACCAAGCCAGTTTAATCAATTGATACCAGTCAAGCTTAGAAAATTGCTTTCTTCCTTGCTTGAATACACACCGAGTTCATATTTTACAGCAGTAATTGTACACTTATGTCATAAAATCAGGGCGAAATTTTATTTCCTTGACAATTCTTTAAGAGATCCTTGCCTTTTCCTCCGCTTAGGCAACTTTTGTAAACATTATCTTGCAGGTCTTTTTTCTTGATTATCATGATTGTATTGGGTCATTTCAAAGGTCTTTCCATCTTTTTGACTTAAAAACAACAAAGAACAAAGACTCGCCAAAACAAGTGGAATGAAGATACGCTATTCAAAACTATCCAATGCAGCTTTTCTCCTTTTTTGAATTTTCGTTTAAAACCGCTCCATGCGTAGCCTGAAATTCAAAATTTGATTTTTTGAAGCAACCGCTCACTTCTTTCGTAAAATTGCTATTGACACTAAACTTGTTTCCGAATCGAATAAAAATTCGATCATTTGAGACATTCGAATATACTCGCATTCGAAATTAGATATTCGGAGTTCTTCCATTTTCGAATAATATTCGAAAATGGAAAAACTATAACTATAACTTTGAATAATTGAGTAATTTGGGTTTCGAATAAAATTCGAAAACTCGAATAATCAAAAACGAGAATTTAAAAAGATTTTATCCGAATGTTTTATTGGGTTGGAAACTAAGTTTTGCAACTGGTTTCATAACTTCACTCTCATTCGACATGGCGCACTCAAACTTTGGCATTATGTAGAATGCAATGTGAGCTATGGGTAGCACAAATTGTCTAAATTTTAAACACGAAATAGAAAAGTTTCAGGCGTTTTTCGAAAACAATGAAATTTGAGAATTTTTGGGGTTTCAAGCCAAAATAAAGCCTTTGGCAGCCTAGACCATGCGCAGTAGTCCGGATTCGTCTACAAATTATTGCTGGAGGTTGACTCCTTTGGCCTAGCAAGAAAGAAACAAAATTTAGGAGCATGTCGAGATTTGGCGTCTTCATAAAGTCGAACGAGTCGATGTACGCAAGAGCTGCTGGGGATGACCGTCAATGACTAACGAGTCCAAGGCTCAAATTCCGCTGAGACTTTACATAGTAAGGTTATTTGACCTGCCAAATGCGAATATCACATTCATTTGTTTAATCAACGCCTTTTTCCTTGTTTAGGGTGAGACCCCATATCGAACACCTACAGTCATCCTACAAACAAGCCCTTATCACGCAATTTCACTATCGTTTTCGTGATCAGCATGTCGGATAACACCCCTATGCCAAGTTTCAGCTAAATCCGCCAGATTTTGAATTTTTCCCCTTCATACCATGCACCTACCGTAACCCTCACTGCAACGTCAGAATTTGGTAGGACAGCAGCAGCGCTTGTAGCTTACGTAATAACCAACGCAGTGGCAAAATTTGAGTGCGCCCTGTTGAGTGAGAGGGAAGTTATGAGATCAGTTGCAAAACTTAGTTTCCAACCTAATATTTGAAGTTTATTCGCGTATTCGAGTTGCTCATGCTTTTGGTTCACAATGAGCACTCTTGTTTGTAAAACTCATGTTGCAACTCTGTTCTTTAGCTTGAAGACTTTTCGCGAATGGTGCATTGATGTATTTTAAGTAAAGGACATTGCAGCTGTAGTGGAGGATTAGACGGTCGCTGAATCCTGCAGTTTTATCATCTTGCAATTAAATTTTGTTCAGTAGATAGTACAGGATAGTTCTGTTATCACAGTGCATCCAAGACAAGTAGGCTCGCAGACATTTTAACCCTGGGAGCTGTCAGCCTATCAACTATGATGAAGGCTAAAGCCGGACGAAGAAGGTCCACATTGAGAAATGGAAGCTTTGATTATGACAGCCCCGCACATACTTCACGCGACAGTTGTATGCGATTTGCCAGTTACAAGATGCTAGCTAGGGGCTGGGACTTGGTACAGGGGGTAAGGCAAGGTGCTGACTATGAATAAAATTGTATTTTGTCGACTTTATCAATTTTTTGGGAAATTTCGAGCTACGAGGCTAATTGTTTGGTAAGGGGGGGGGGGGGGGAGAGGGTAAATGAGGGTGCTGATTATGAATAAACATTTATATTGATGCTTTTATGAATTTTTAGAAAAGTTTGAACTACGAGGCTGGGAGTTGACACAGGGAGTAAATAAGAGTTCTAATCAAAAATAAAATCTATCTTATCGATTTCACCAATTCCTAGGCCCGTATGCACTAACATTTTTGCGGCGAGGGGAGCGGCGTCCCCAATGATGAAGGGGCCGCGTGCGGACGCCGCTGCGGCTTTTCCATCATTGGGAACGCCGCTCCCCTCGCCGCAGGGATGTTAGTGCATGCGGCCCCTAAAAGATCTTAAGCTAGTAGTTGGTATAGGGGATGTGGGGGCTGAATATGAATGGATCGGCTTTAGCCGAAGCATGTCAGCAAGTTTTAGATCTGGTTGCTCCATATTCGATAAATCATTCGAATATTCATTCGAAATTCGACTCCCAATTTTCGGATTCAATCGATATTCGTTCACTCAATATTTTTGATTTTCCGATTCTATTCAGGATTCATTCATTTGAAAATTTTTGAATCTCGAATTTATTCGATATTCGTTTATTCGAAATTTTTCACCTTCGAATTTATTCGATATTAATTCATTCGGTGAAAGATTTCGAATTTACCCAAGTATCGTTGGCACATGAGCGGCTTCAGAAACCTGCTCTAGAAAAATTCTTTTGGTGTGTGATGTGTGCGTAACACTAGCAAGAAAACTTTTTAAAGAATTTCTCGAAAAGTTTTGAATAATTTATTGACGGTAACCGGAAAAATCACTGTTTCACTTTTTGGTCTCCGATACCATAGCAAATTTTGATGGAATTTTTTGAACATTATCACTGGACGGTGAAACCACGGGAATCTCGGCGACTAGTGACCACAAGACCAACCAGATCAGGGGCTAGACTAGAACACATTACTTATCACGATTCCTATCCTATCATAGTGCCTGTACCTCACACCTAGGACACTGCATGGGTTCAAGGATTCGATCTGGCAAGTTTGGCCATGGGCGCGAAATCCCTTATCTCGATAGGTCAGACTGTGCTACCGCTTGGGCCATGCTAACCAACCTCTCATGAAGCACGGGCTGGATGCTCTCGCTCTGGCGCAAAAATGATGCATCTTCGCGACTGCAGAAAAAAAAGTGACCAAATGTGCGAGTTTTGTACGTTACTGTAGTAAACTCAAACCCAAACTCTAAAGTTTTTTGAATTTTTGTGACTGAACATCCTAGATTTGCAAAAACTGTCGACAAGATGTCCCACGCTTAAGCTTACATCAATAAACTGGGCACTGGGCAATATTGCCCATAGCGGGCAATTGCCTTTTCAAAGGAAAGTCATAACTACATTAGCCGCAACTCTACCATAATTCCTCAGCTCCTTCAGCCTAATTATTTTTGAAAATATAATTATGTGTAAGCTATGCGAATTGTCCACCTATGAGCTATGTTCAGAGGGTTGTTATCAAATTGGTATCCTGGTCAAAAAGAGATGTAACAAAAATTAGGTCTGAGTGCAGCATTTTATAATTCTGCAATTTCAGCGATTGAGGCCAAAAACCTGTTTTAGATCGATGATTTTATTAGAGAGGGCTTGAAAAAAGTTTGCAAGTTATTTGCGAAATCTGTCTTGTAATAGAAAAATTTGTGAGAAGAGCTGATTGGGAATAGAGCTTGAAAAAACACTTTTTATTGCAGCGAACCAAAATGTTTCCACCGTATATGTGAAAAAGGAGGTTGTCTGCAGTTTTTTGGGTGAATCCTGATGTTAAGACACGATATAAAAACTCTGCAGATTTTTGTATTACATGTACAGTCGGGTAGACTTTCCGCTCAGTAGTGTGTGCATGCACTGTAGATAAAATGCGCTCAAATTTGCGCGTGAACAGATAGCTACGCCTGTGACGCCGTCCAATTGGGTCTACCGTATATGTAAAGAGGATGTCTGCGCAGTCTTTTGGGTATAACCTGAAAGAAACGATTTAAAAACTTTACAGATTTTTGTATTACATGTACAATCGAGTAAACTTTCCGCTCAATATTGTGTGCTTGCACTGCATGTAAAAATGGGTAAAATTTACGCGTGAACAAATGGCCAAGCCAGTAATGCCGCCATGTTGCACGCGCAGTTGGGCGGCGTCACAGGCGTAGCTATCTGTTCACGCGCAAATTTTACCCCATTTTACCTGCAGTGCAAGCATACCTATTGAGCGGAAAAACTACTCAACTGTCCCGCGTTCCTCGCCATTAGTGGAACCTTACTTCCCTTTAATCTGGGTAATTTCAGTGCGAAGTGTCGGTTTTCAAAATCAAACTTGCTTCAGCATAGATCTGTGAAAGATTTGTTTTAACTAAAATGTTAAGATATGTTTCGCTTCCTGAAACAATGACACATGATTAACT